TAAGCCACCGAGCCCAGCTGATGGATTTTTTATTTTAATCACTATATGCTTATGTGTTTATTATTTAATAATCTCCCATTTAGGGTAGTGAAGTTAAGTTGTCTACTTAAATGAGTTTACAGTTTTTAAAAGTAGGTTAAGAGAAAACATTGATCATAATTTGTTATTAGAATAAGTGGTTTTATGTCTGGGTGTGGTGGCTCACATCTGTAATTCCAGCACTTTGGTAGGCCGAGGCAGGAGGATTGCTTGAGTCCAGGAGTTTGAGACCAGCCTGAGCAAGAGCAAGACTCCATCTCTACGAAAAGTAGAAAAATTAGCTAGAAGTGGTGGCAGCTTGGAATAGAAGCCTGGTTCCATCACCTCCCTCCTCTGTCTCCCTGGCCACATGACTTGGAGCCTCAGTTTCCACATCTGTAAAGTGGGGACATTGATCACACTAGCCTCAGGTTTGGATATTTGATGAGATGATCGAGGGGCATACTTAGCACGGGCTGAGATCTGTAACGTGCCCTGGGCATTGCCCGCTGGTGTTTCCGTGATTGTAGCGTCCTCATCGGCAGTGTGCTTTACGCTCATCCTCATCCGGGCTCTGCAACTTATCAGCCGGGACGTCCTGGGCCGAGGCTCTGCTCTGCACTGTCATCCTTGGCCTTTCTGTGAAACGGGGGATGAGAGTGTGCACCTCCCGAGCCTGCTGGGAGGAGGAGATGAGCCTATGTGTGCAAAGCCGCCTTCCTGGGACCCTGGGTAGAGCCGGCCTCTTATGAGAAGAGGCCGGGTTTGCTGGGTCTACCTCTGTGCATCTGGCCGCTCACACAGACCCGCCCCGTTTTGCATCGCTGCAGGATCTCCGGCGGAAAGCAGCCAGGCTGGTGGCCGCCAAGTGCACGCTGGCAGCCCGCGTGGACAGTTTCCACGAGAGCACGGAAGGGAAGGTGAGGGGCGGCCGGGGGTCAGTGCCTGTGAGTCTGGGTCTTTGGTGGGGGGGCGGGGAGCCATCGCAGGGAACCTAGCCCGAGTGGGTGCTGTCCTAACAGGGCAGAGGCGGGGTGTCTGTCTGCGTCTCCCCTTCCCCAGTGCGAGTTTCCAAGGGTGCTGTAGCAAGTTAGCACCAACGTGGTGACAGCTCAGGGTGTCATGGTCCTGTAGGTCAGAAGTCCAAAATGAGACTCTGGACTAAGGTCAAGGAGTCAGCAGAGTTCACTCCTTCCGGAGGCTCTCGGGCAGAGTCCCCAGCCTTTTCCAGCTCCTGGAGGTGGCCGGCACGCCCTGGCTCGTGGCCCTTCCGCCGTCTTCGTAGCCATCCGTGTGGCCCCTTCAGATGCCTCCCTGACTCTGCCTCTGTCTGCGCGTCTCCTTCTCTTTCTCTGTCTTAAGGACGCTTGCAATTATATCGCGCCTGCGCTGATCGTCCGGAACAATCTCATCTCACAGTCCTTAAGCTCTCCACCTCTGCAAAGTCCCTTTTTCCGTGTGGACATCGTTGGCGGGGGTGTCGAGGGGGCATTGTTTTGCCTGCTACACCAGGATCTATCCCCTCGACTAACAGGGGATATTATTCAAATAATTAATCGATTAACTTCTGTCTTTGGTGGACAGACTCAGGAAAGTAGCCATGTCTTGTGAACCGTTTCCCAAGCGCCCAGCCTGGCACAGCGTTCAGATGTCCAGTCTCTCTCTCCCCCCTCCCCTCTCCCCTCCATCTCTCCCCGCCAGCGCTGGTCTGGGTGCTGGGGACCAGCAGTGCTCACCAGCGTGAGTGGCACCGAGAGCCCTGCCGCCATGGCATGCACATTCTGGTGGGGGCCGTGGTGAGGGGACAGTAAAAGGTGGAATCTGTGGTGTGTCCAGCAGGGCCAAGCAGACGCCGAGAAAGATAAAGGGGATCAGGGTGGCGAGGGCCGTCAGGGAAGGCTCCTCTGAGGAGAAGTTTTAACAGAGACCAGCTGGAATTAGGGAGCAAGTGGATCCTTGGGGAAGAGTATTCCGAGCAGAGGGAACAGTCCCTGCAAAGGCCCTGAGGCCGGAGTGCAGCGAGCCGTGGGGGGAAAAGGGGGAGAGGGGAGGTCCTGGTGGTGTCCAGGGAAGATAATGGGGAGCCTTGTGCACCCTGGGGAGAACAAATTAGGGGCCAATTTGGGGTTCGTCCTCAAGGAGGAGCCTGAGCCTGCTGGGATCCGCGGTGTGGGAGAGAAAGGCTGGAGTCTGGGCAGCGCCTGCCGACACGGAGATCGAGGGCAGGGGCTGGGGAAAGGAGCGGGAATGCTGCTTGGCCCTCGCGCCTTTGAGGGGCCCGTTCGTGATCCCCTCGTCAAGGAGACAGTTCACAGGTGCAGAACCCGGAGGAGAGGTCTGAGCCTGAGATACAAGTTTGAGGCGTCAGGTTGTAGATGGGACTTAGAACCCAGAGAGCAGACGAGATGCTGTAGGGCTTAAGGGGAAGGAGTGAGCCGAGGGTGGGCGCTGTGCTTGGGTGGGCACACAGACCACGGACAGAGGAGGCTTGGGCGGGCGGCCCGCGCCGGTGGCTGCAGGACCTCCCCCTCGCCCCCCCCAGGTGGGTTACGAACTGAAGGATGAGATCGAGCGCAAATTTGACAAGTGGCAGGAGCCGCCGCCCGTGAAGCAGGTGAAGCCGCTGCCCGCGCCCCTGGATGGGCAGCGGAAGAAGCGAGGCGGCCGCAGGTGAGGGACCCTGGGGGTCTGGCAGGGATGGGGGCCAGCAAAGGAGGAAACCGGGCACCCTCCCAGCTGACTCCCTGGTGCCCCCTGCCCTCCGGTCCCCAGGTACCGCAAGATGAAGGAGCGGCTGGGGCTGACGGAGATCCGGAAGCAGGCCAACCGCATGAGCTTCGGAGAGGTCGGACCCCGCCACCCTGCCAGCTCGGGAACACTGGGGGTCCTCCCGCCCTCTCCCCTACCCCCACAGCCACCAAGTCCTGCCCCTTCTGCCTCCTGCCACATTCCCTGCTCTGCATCCTGTGACCCCAGCGCAGATCAGGGGCATTGCCCCGGCCTGCTCCCTGGTCCCCAGCCTCCCCGTCCATTCACCCCAAAGCGACCTCTGTATCCCTCAGAGCCTGTTTCCCCAGCTCAGAGCCTGCAGCTTCCCATCCACCCAGGCTCCTCGGCTGGGCCCTACACGCCCCCCAGGCCGGTCCCTCCCTGCCTGGAGGCTCAGCGGACTCCACAGTGCCCTGCTGCACGGCCAGTCTCTTGTTATGCAAGCATCATCCTGCTGGTCCTGCAAGAACTGGCTCAGATCCACCTCATTGGTGAAACATGTCCCGGTTTTTGATACCCCTCAACACACATGCTAAGGAGGAAATGGCCTCTGAGCTCTGAGCCCAGAGACCCAACTCCTCTGGGGTCCCCAGCACCACCCATGCGAGGGCGGGCCCCGAGGCCCCAGCCAGGCTGAGTGGGTACCTGAGTGGGTGCTTGTGGAACTAGTTACCCAGCGGCCGCTAGGCTTGCAGCTGGTCGAGGGGGTGCCTGAGTGGCTGGTGGGGCTCAGCGGCGTAACTGCAGGATGCCTCCCCTCCCCCCCAGATCGAGGAGGACGCCTACCAGGAGGACCTGGGCTTCAGCCTGGGCCACCTGGGCAAGTCTGGCAGCGGGCGCGTGCGGCAGACACAGGTGAACGAGGCCACCAAGGCCAGGATCTCCAAGACGCTGCAGGTATGGGCCAGGGCTGGGGGCCTGATGGACATGAGGGCCAGGTAAGCCCAGATCACAGTCTCCCTGTCCCCTCCTGCAGCGGACCCTGCAGAAGCAGAGTGTGGTGTACGGCGGGAAGTCCACCATCCGCGACCGCTCCTCGGGGACAGCCTCCAGCGTGGCCTTCACCCCGCTCCAGGTACGGGGTGGCCCGGTCCTGCTGGGGTCCGGCTCCGCTCCCTGGCCCTCCAGGTGGCCCTGGCAAAGCTCCTTGTCCTCTCCCTGTGAAGCAGGCCCACAGTAGATGTCCCCTCAGAGTTGTCAAGGAGGTCGTGTCCACAAGGCACATAGAGGGCTGAGGCAGCTCCTGGTGCAGGCTAGCAGCGACAGTGGTGGTGAGCATGGGCTGGCTTGAGAATCAGGGACCCAGCGACTCTCTGCATGACCTTGAGCAGGTTACACCCCCTTTCAGCCTCCAGGTCCTCGTGTTCAAAAGGCCAGGGTAGCTGGAGTGACCTCGGGGCCCCACCAAAGCAGACTCCCAGTTAGATGGGCTTGGACATCACACTGGGCCCAGGGCCCTGCCCAGCCAGCGGTGAGCGGCCTGGGGCATGGCAGTCACCACACCTGTGTGCGCCTCAGTTTACTCATCCGCAGGATAGGGCGAGTCTGCGCATGGTGGTGTGAGGCAGCGGTGAGCTCATTCAGCCAGCCAGCCAGTATCTATTGAGCCTCTACCGAGTTCCAAGTGCTGCTCTAGGTTCTGGGGATAAAGCAAAACCAAAAGAGACAAGTCTTACCTTCACAGAGCTGGTGGGTAGCAGGGCACAGACAGATAAATACAATGTCCAGTGTCGCAGAAGGTGGTAAGTGCCAAGGAAGAAGGGAGGGAGGGGCGTGGGGAGGTGGGGTTCCTTAGCCTGGGAGCACCTCCGTGAGGTCAGGATTGCTGCCTTGGAAATGTTTAGAGCAGTGCCCGCCACATGTCAGCAACCAGACATAGTCATTAGGATTGTCGGTTATCCGTGGTCTTGGTGTGATTTGTGCTGGGACCTCAGGCCAGCCGCTTCCGTCTGGGACTCAGTTTCCTCACCCAGAAACTGGGCAGGATTGTCTGTTCTCAAACGCTGGTGTTTTTGGCATCACTTGGGAACTTGTGAAAAATCTAGACGCCCCGGTCCCCTCCTCCACCTCCCCCAGACCCACTAAGTCAGAATCTCCCAAGGCAGGGGAGGCTCTGGGGTCAGGCAGACTGTCCTCATGCCCACCTGAAGCCTGAGGACCATCAGGAAGGGGTTGTGGGGCTCTAACATGTTACGATTCCCATACTGCATGGGGGAGGGGCCGTCTCTCCACCCGTTCCATCATCCCCCTCCCCCACCCCCCAGGGCCTGGAGATTGTGAACCCACAAGCAGCAGAGAAGAAGGTGGCGGAGGCCAACCAGAAGTACTTCTCCAGCATGGCTGAATTCCTCAAGGTCAAGGGCGAGAAGAGCGGCATCATGTCCACCTGAGTGTGTGTGCTCAGGGTGGGTACCCACTAAAGGGACACAGAGGCCCAGCCCTTGTGAAGGGATTGGGACTGGGGCTGGGAGGTTCTGGCAGGGAGAGCCTGCCCTGCTGTCTGCCCCAGTGCTGGGACCATCCAGGCAGGCCTGGGAAGAAGCCCAGCCTGGCCTCCCGCAGCACCAAGATCACTGCCCCATTCAGAGGGCAAAGGAGGTTTTCATCATGCCTTGTCTTTTTATTTTAACTGGGAAAGGAGATGCTTGTTTTGGGAAAGAGTACAATTAAAATCACATTATCAAGATCTGTCCTTGGGGAGTGGTCATTTTTCAAGCACTCAGGGCAGCTGGAGGAGTCAAAGCTATGGGTTTTTGGGAAAAGAGCTTGGGTTTCTGGTCCAGATGTTATCTGAGCCCAGACCCTGCCCCATCACTTCCTTGTCATGGGACCGCAGGAAGAGGAAAATCCCCTCCCTACCCCTTGGAAAACGTCAATCACTTTGATACCCAAGTGATGTGGCCACTAAAAACCCCCGCTCTCATTGCAGGCTGACCTGGATTGTTTGGTACCTCAGGCAAGTGGCCTCACCTTTCCAATCTTCCACACCTACACCATGAGCTCGCCGTAGGGGCCCAGTGACTGGGTCCTGTTGTTATTTTTAGCCGATGTTTGTTGAGGGGCTGTGCCAAGCCCTGACAAGGGTGAATCAGGCAGGCTTCCGGCCCTAGTAGGAACTAATTGCTGTAACAGTTCCTGCTAGGTGGGCAAAAGGAGCACATTTCCCCTCCCCTGCCGTCCAGGAACGGTCTTAGGAACTGGGGCTCAGCCAGGGCTGCCTTCACTTGGGCTGCGGGGAGTGTGGCCTGCAGTCACGGGGAAGGGTATTCCAGGTGAGAGAACAGTGTGAGCAGTCCCGGCAGGGTGGCACGAAACCATGGTTTCCCTGGAAAGGTTAAGGAAGAACAACTCCAGGGGCCCCATTCACTCCGTGCTCTGGGGCTGGGCTTCACAGAGATACTAAGGAGGGGGCCTAGTCACCTGACCTGCAAGGTTAGGGCTTCTCTTAGTTACGTACCCAAGAGAGGTTCTACGAAGACAAGAACCAGCAGTGGTGGGAGGATCATGCCTGCAGTCTCCATCTTTCCCTCTCTCCCTCCAGCTCACACTTTCTCCCTGGGTCTTTCTGGCTTCCTAGGTCCTGTCTGTGAGATCTTGCTCTTTCTGTTCCCCTCTCTGGGCCTCCCCCATCACCACTCTGTATTGGGATCCCAGTCCCTCCCTCAATCCTGTCTCTGGACCTCAGTTGCAATCTCTGAATCTCTTTCCTCCCTCAGGTTAAAAAGTCTACATACCTGGGAGGTCCCTCTTAATGGCCAAACTACCCCAGGTTGCCTAACTGTTTCTCCAGTTTTGTCCCTGAGCCTTTAGGTTAGCCTTGTTTGAAAATGACCACCTTTGCTGATCTCTGCATACTGGTCTGCCAGGGAGGACCTTTGTCCACAACTCTGTTCAGAATCCCCCATCACCCTTGGCCAGAGTGTATCTGGCATCTGCCAACGGGTAGTGGGGTGGGGGTGGGGGGACACGAGGGTGTGAATTTCAAGAAAGGAATCTAAGGCACCTGACCTTACAGTTCTGTGTATTCTTAGAGATTCTCAAAATTTAATACGCTTCTAAATTACCTGGAGGGCTTGTTAAACACAGTTGCTGGGCCCAGAGTTTATGTTTCAGTTAGTCCAGGGTGGGGCTCAAAAATGTGCATTTCAAACAAGTTCCCGATGATGGTTTATGCTCCTCATCCAAGACCACGTTCGGAGAACCCACTGTTCTCGAAAAGTCTATAAGCAGCTCTTAGATAAGCTCTGCACATTGGAATCATCTCAGGAATTTTAAAAATTACTCAAGTCTGGCTCCTGCCCTTGGAGATTGATTTAGCTGGTCTAGTGCAAGGCTAGGTATCTGATTTTTTTTTCAAGTACACACGGTGTGGTTTTTTGTTCGTTTGTTTTGAGACAGGGTCTCCCCCTCTGTTGCCCCGGCTGGAGTACAATGGCATGATCATAGCAGCTCACTGCATCCTTGAACTCCTGGGCTCAAGCAATCCTCCCGCCTCAGCCTCCCAAAGTGCTGGGATAACAGGTGTGAGCCACCGTGCCTGGCCTCCCCAGGTGATTCTAATGTACAGTCAAGTTTGAGAACCACTAATGTGGATCCTTGCTGCTCAGAGTGTGAACTGTGGACCATGAGCATCACCTGGAAACTCCTGAATCAGAATCTGCATTTTAACAAATCCATAGGTAATTCCTAAGATGTCTGTGAAGCATTGCTCCATCCAGGGACCTCACTTGAATAGCAAAGCTCTAGATCGATAACTCTCAAATGCTAACAAATGCCAAGGATCACCCAAGAAGTTTAAAAATACAGATCCCTAGGCTTGCCTCCTGTAGGTCTGTGTGCGGGCCAAAGAGTATACATTTTTACAAGCATCCCTCCCTCTCTCGCCTCAAGCAATTCTGATGCGGGTGGTGCGGAATGGTTCAGCGTATGTTTACTTCTCCCTTGGATTTACCTTACTTTCCTCCACCTAGCGAGGAAGGGCGCGGGGTGGTATCTGCTTTCTATCTCCGTTGTATGACCCTGGGCAAATGCCTCGCAGTTCCTGAAAATCACAAGTCAAGCCTCACATTCCTTCATCTATTCATTCAGCAAATGGTTACTGATTGCTTCCTGCTTGCTAAGTGTCTGGGACGCAAAATCCAGGTGGGGAACACCCGAATAATTACAAAAATAACGGTAGACGTGCAAAAAATAAATGCCAACAAACAAGGCTCACATGAGCACTCAGCACGAGTGGTCAGGAAAGTTTTCTCCCCAAGAAAAGACAACAGAGCTGAGATCTGAAACGAGCAGGCATTACCGAGGCAACCGTGGGAGGGGAAAGCCAATCTCATCTCTGCCTTCTGCAGCGTCCTCAAAACACTCAGGAAACGGAGGTGCAGACAACGACTGCCCCACCATCTGGTTATGTACCCAGTCAGAGCAGGACAAAAACTCTATGCCTCGCGCTTCCAATCAATTTGCTGTGCATGGTGCCAGGGACTCAGAGGCACTGTCTCTGCTTCCTTCCTTCTTTCATTCAGCAAATCATGCATTTCAGGTGCCGACACAGAGGAACTTGGAGGAAGACAGTGCGACTGAGAGACGGGGACCAGCCTGCCTGCCCCGTACGCAAGGAACGTGGAAGGATGCGCCCAAGTCCCACACCTGCCGGCTACACCTCTTTCACACGCTTCACGAACAGGTGCCGCCCACTCGCTACACTATTGGCCAAACCGGCACGAAGGCTAACAGCCAGAGACAACGAAGAGAAAGGGGTGGACTTTCTTGCCCAGTTCCTCCCCCTTGGTCCTATGGCTGCTTTAATTGGCAGATGACTTCGACTCGGCCCCCGCTTTGAAGGCACCTGTCTGTCTCCCATTAGGTACGCGGCCTCTAATGCCCACTGTCCATGCTTTCCTCCGCCTTCCCCGCCCACTTCCAGGACCAACCAATGGCTTCAGGGAAGAATATACTCCCCAAACCAATTAAAAACGGCTCTAAACTTGACGGACGACTTCCCGCCCCTGATCGGCCTAGCTCCTCCCCTCGACCAATTGGTTTAGGAGAGGGGGGCGGGTGCATCCAATCAACATGACACAGGCCTCTTGATTGACGCAGGAGTCCTCGCGCTGGCGTGTTGTGCCCTGAGGCGGGAGGAGGAGGAGGAGCGGAGAGGAAAACCTGAGCCAATCCTAGCAGGCTGCGCGGGAGACCAATCGAACGCCGCGCCTTGAAACGATTGCCCAGTCCGCGAGAGGGGGCCGGTCGCATCCCTATCAGGAACCAATAGGGCGCCTCTAAGGGTCAAGAGCGACGTGCAGCGGGAGCAATGACAGACCTATATTCGGGGCTCGGGGCCGACCCGCGCCAGAGACGAGAAGAGAGGAGGGGAGGCCTCCTCCGCCGCCGCCATCTTGGACCGGGCCCGGTCAGCTTCCGCGGAGCCATCGGCAGACGCCGCGGCCTCCCTTGAGCCCCGACCCCCGTCGTCAGAACAACCCCGGGCCCACTTCCCCCACCCCACTTCCGCTTCGCGCCGCTATCGCGATAGCGCCCGGGCCCGGGGCGCGAGAAAAAGGCGGCGGGCGCTCGCCTCCCCCGCCTGTCGCGATACGCTCCTCAGCGGCGGCGCCAGCTCCTGTGGTGAGAGCGTCAGGCTCGACTGGGCCGGACCCCTTCCCCTCCTCTCCCCCGGCGCCATCGGCCGCCCTCCCCGCCGCTTCCCGCCTGGGGGACACCGCCGTCTGTCGCGACACGGCCTCCCCTCGCCCGCCCCCTGCCGCCGCCTCTGCAGCGCGGGGCGCAGCCCCCTCCCTCTCGCCCTCTCTCTCCTCCTCCTCCTCCTTCACACCCCTCAGCGCCGTCCGGGGGGTCTTTCCGCGACCCGGACCCCTGGCCCCGCCCGCCGCTGCCTCCCCTCGTGGCATCGCGTCGGGCCCGGGGGTAGGGGTGTGAGGGTGCGAACCCTCCGTGCGCGCGGTGCCCGCCCCTCTCCGCGTCGGTATTGGTTCGTGGCTGGAAGGATGGAGGCGCCCCTGGTCCCAGGTGCCCGCCCTCTCGGGGCTCAGGTGCCTGCCCCTCGGCTTTAGGCCCTTGTGTTGCGGGGAGCCTCCGCTCCGAGGCTTCTCGCTTCACGGTGGTGTCAGGGGGTGCGAGCCCCGCTCCAGGACGAGGGCCCTGTTGGGGGTCGGGGAGTCACCCTTCCAGAGCTCCCCTCTCCTCATCCCTCCTTACCGTTGTTACCATCTCTTCTCTTTGGAGCATAACCCCTTGGATCTAAGGCTCCAGCTTCCCCTCCGTATCTTATGGGGGAGCCTCTTTGGAGATCGAGTGGAGTGTAAACTGCCCAAAAATGAAAGTGCCAGCTCCTTTAGTTAGAGCGTCTGCCAAAGTTTCTACCTCTTTAGTATGCACCTCTTCCCTTTCATGGTGAAAAGTACCCCAGACGACTAAAGCTTCTACAGCCCGCAGCACAGGGAGCCTTCCTTTTAGGGGAGCATGACTTTTCCCCCCACTGGGATTCAGGACTGCCCTCGGTGTTGCCCACTTCTGGGCCTGAGCCCTTCCGCCCCTTTGGTCTTGGTGTCTGCCTCTGGCTTTGTAGATGTGAGCTCCCCTGGGTCCAAGCTGTGTGTCTGTCTGGGTGTGGGCCTCCTTGTGATGTCATGTCATGGGCTGTTGAGCTCCTCTGGGTCTCAGGTACCCATCTTGCCTTGGTGAAACCTCCTAAGCCCCCAGTCTGTCTGTGTTGTTAGTGAGCTCCCATCGTAGGCAGCGCAAGTGCCCCTTTTCCTAAGTAGTACCTCTGTCTCGGGGCAGGGGCTTCAGCTCCCCCAGGATTAACTCTTTTGCCCTTTCCGTAAGGGTTTTTGAACACCTTCCCCTACTCCCCTCACCACATGGGCTGTCGCCTGCCTCAGTGTGAGGCTTCTAGTCCTAGACACACCAGTTGTCTTTGGTGTATCATCTCTCCAGGGGCCAAGAACCCCCTCCCCTTGGTATTCGCGTTGGGGTCAGATCCCTCACTGTGGATGTGTCATCTTACCATCGCTGAAAGAACCCACTGAGCGTTAGCAGTTGTAGAGCAAGGGTTCACACCTACCCACTTCCCACCCTGCTGGTACCTGTTAGGAGTATAGGGCTTCTTAAACCTGAGGTTCCTGTACTGTGAGGTGTGGGCTTCTCTCTCTGGGATTGTGCGTTCTCCAGGGTAAGGAATCTTTCTTCGTCTTGCCTCCCTCGGGGATAAGGTTCCCGCCTGCCTTGGTGTTGGTGTCAGTCTCTCTCCTGCATTTGAGGTGTCCATGGTCCGTGTGTGTCCCCACTGTGAGGCTGAACACCCTTTTTGGATGTCAGTGCCCTCGCCTGATGCTTCCGGTCTCTCTCATGATTTTACACTCTGTGGGGTTTAAGGTGCCTGAGACTTGAGGGGTAGAGACCCTGCCGTAGTCACCTTCCCTGGGATTAAAGATTCCTCTGGTGTCATTGTTCCCAGGTGGGCATTCCCGGTGCTCCACCCTTGGTATCGGGCCTCTTAGTGGGGAGATAACTACCTCTACCCCGGGACTTAACACATCCACCTTCCAGAGCCTCTGTGTGGCGAGTCAGCAGCCTCCCCTGGGTTGAGGATCACCCTCCAACATACTTCCTAGAGCTCTGTGCCATAGAGGCGGCAGCTCTCTTAGATCCAAGGCACCTCGTGACGTGATACCAGACCTCTGTGGACATGTGGCAGCCCCCAGGATTAAGGACCGCTTGTGTTAGCTCCCCAGGATCTGAGCCTGCTACCCTCCTGCCCTCCTCCTTGAGTCTTTTTCTGTGGCGGTGCCATCTGCCCTGAGGTGAAGTTTGGGGAGCTCTTCGTTACTGGTTTTGGCCCCTCGTTTTAGGTGTCGGCTCCTGTGGGTCTGGTGTACTGCTCAACCTACCCACACCCTCTAGCTCCTTCCTTGTGTGGATTCGCTTTCCTCTTGGACAAAGGATCCTCTTAGGTAAGTCTCCTCCTGGGCCTCGGTTCCCGGATTCCTTGGCGCTGTTTGAGAGCCCTCGCCTGTTAGAGTGCAAGTTCTCCTGTGCCTGACGCAGCCGCCTGCCTCAGCGCAGGCCCTGCAATACTCGCATTCCCGTGGAGCACCTCGGTGGGACGCCCTCCTCCCCCGGAGCAGATGTGGCTCTGTGGTGGCATCTCCGCTTCCAGACTCAAGCTCTAGCTTCCTCTCTCTGGTCCTGTGCTGGGGGGATCTGAGGTACAGACACCCTCGTGATAGGGGCTTTGCTTTGCGGAGGGGTGTTGTGTCCACTGTGGCCAAGGCTCCAGCCCCTCTAGGGGACGAGTACCTTGGGCTTATGGTACTTGTCCATTCTCCGTGGAGGAGCTCTCTCCGCGGATCAGGTACTATCCTCTCTGGATCTCAGCTGTTGCCCACTTTGATGTCGGACTGTTCTGTCTGAAACGTCACCTCTCTGTGTTAGGGCTCTTCTTCCCCTGGCACCTTGCTTCTGACTCCTTCAAGTTTTACTTCTCTTGCTGCCACAGTGTAGTCTCCCCTCTGTGCGGGTATCACTGCCTCCCGACGCCTTCAGTGTGGGGACTGGGGGAGGGGATCGCCTCCCTGTGGTGTTGAGTGCCTTGTGTAGGGGCGTAAACCACGAGACATCTTCTCCCTCTGGGCTGGGATACTTGCCATGACCCTCTGTTGGGCTTGTGGGCAGAGGAAGGGAGCATGAGCTCTCGTTTAACATTCCCGGCCGCCGCGTGCAGTAAGAGGCTTTTCTGTGGTGGGATGTTGGAGCTAAGACTTTGGGTCAGGATCCCTGCACAGCTCAGTGTTGTTGTGCAGGCCCTTGTTTAAGCTCCCTGGATAAAAGTTACTTGCCCCACCTCAGTTCGAGTTCCCTTTGTGGCACTGTCTCCTGAGTCCTTTTGTCTGGTTGCTTCGCCTTCTTGGAGATTCCCCACATACGGCATGTTAGGGGGCCCTGGGCCGAGGATCCTACCGTTCTTTTGGTTGAGCCTTTTGCTCAGGAGATTTAAGCTGACTCAAGTCTAAGGTAGCACTCCTACCTACTGCCACTCAGAATGGGTCCCTGCGGGGCGGGAAAAAACTCCCTGTGCTTAAGTTACCAGCTCTGTCCCGTACTGGCCTTTTGTTCTAAAGCTTGCTATATGGTTGCTGCTAGCCACATATGGTAATTAGTAACTAGTTAACAATGAAAAAATTCAGTTTCTCGGTTACACTTGTCACATTTCAGATATTCAGTGGCCAACAGATAGTGCAGATATAGAACATTTCCAGCATTGCAAAGTTCTGTTAGATGGGACTGTTCTCCAGATGTTCCCCTCCTTGTGAGTAAGGACCCTCTTGGTATGACTTCCCTCTGGGTTGAGGGGGGCACTTAGTCCTCAGTGTGGCTGTTTCTGTCTTCACAGTTAAGGGCTGCTCTAGGGCACCCCTGCCCTGTGCCAGTAGAGCGGGAGCACCCCCTGGATCTCAGGGAGCCATGGTTTTCAGTATAGGCCCCCTGCCTGCTAGGGGGGAAATCTCTGCTGGTGGCTCAGAAGTCCTCTTGGCATAACTCTCCCTCCCCAAGGTTCCCTGGTGTTGGTGTCAGGCTCTAAGATGTGGCTTCTTCCTAGACTAAAGCTCCTGGTAACTCCCCTTTGACCTCAGTCCCCTCTGGGTTGCACGTAATTTCCTTTAGGGTAAAGATGCCCCTGTCTTTTAAGTTTTGGGTGCCTGCCCTGATGGTGTGTGTTTCCCTGAGTCTCAGTTTCCAGTACATTTGATATGGGATTCCTTTGTGTGTGCGGATCGGCTCCCTCACAACTAAGGTACCTTTTCACCTTCTTGGTAAGATTTCTGTCTTTTCCCAGCTTTCTCTTGGTACTGCCTTCTGCCCCCAAATCTGTAACCCTTCTTGATATCAGCCTCTTTTTGGGTTAGGAGTGTTATCTCCTTTGGATTAAGGTTTCTGCTCTAGAATAAATTCTTGGAGGTCCAAGGCCCTCTTCTTGACGTGTATGAGTAGGTTCAGCTCTTCATAGTTTTAGGCATCTCTCTTTGTTCCCCACCCACAACCTCCCTGCCCTCCCCTGCAACTCACACACATGTACACATATATCAGGCCCTTCTCTGTGAGATGCCTGTTCTGTTTGTCTCCTGACTGGTCCAAGGGGTGACCTCTCCAAGTGACCTCTGTGCCCAGCCCCTGTGTATGGAAAGTGTGATCTCCAAGGCTAATGTCCCAGCAGTCAGTTATGTGCTGCATGACTTTGTCCTGCTCTGAAAAATCCTTTTGAGTGTCATCTGAGGAGAAGGTGCTCAATGCTGTAGGAATTTTCCACTTCCTGGGTCAGAGGCATACAAAAAAGTATATATAGCTTTCCTTGTTTCAGCGGACTTTCAGAGTCGCCCCGTCAGCCAGACTTTACACAGGGCAGTCAAGGGACCATAAGGGGAATCGGGCCTGGTCTTTATCACCAGACAGTAAATGCTTCTTCCCTTTACCATCCTACCTGCCTCGCTATTTCTGACCACGTGTGTGTTTCTGGGTTTGGACCAACCAGGGAATAGATGTTAATTCCTTCCCATTCTCTCCTAGCAGCGTCCGTCTCCAAGAGAGTATGAAGAGAGTGCGTCTGTAGGGCAGGGAAGATGGCGGACAAGCGCAAACTCCAAGGTACTACGCTAACAGCCCACTACACGTGTGGCCACATGCTGTCTCTTCTGGGAACTCTTCTTTGGCGCCTGCTGCCTTGGCAGGATTCTAACAGTGTTCCTCTTCCCTGGCTAGGTGAGATTGATCGCTGCCTCAAGAAGGTGTCCGAGGGCGTGGAGCAGTTTGAAGATATTTGGCAGAAGGTACAGGGGCAGGGTCCCTGAAAGTCTGGGTCTCCAGGGAGGAGAGCACAGGCAGAGGTTCAGGATCTCTGGGTATTGACTGGAGAGAGGGGCTGCATATCCACATGCTGAGGACCTAAGAGAAGCAGCTCTGAGATCGACTGGGGGCGGGGGGCATCCCAGAGTCCCCAGCCCAAGGAGGAGAGAGATTGGATCTGTGCTGCTGGTCCAGCCACTGATGGACTAGGCTGGCCACTTGCACACTGACTCCTGAATTCTCTCCATCCCTTAGCTCCACAATGCGGCCAACGCGAACCAGAAAGAAAAGTATGAGGCTGACCTAAAGAAGGAGATTAAGAAGCTACAAGTGAGGGTGCTGGGGGCCCGCACTCCCGTGTCCCGAGGGTGGAGGGAACTGGGAGAGTGGACTGCTGGTTCCCAGGGAGAAGGAGCTGGGGACCCTAGTTCCTGGGTCCTGATGTCTGACTTTCTTGCTTTTCCCATCTGCAGCGGCTGAGGGACCAGATCAAGACATGGGTAGCGTCCAATGAGATCAAGGACAAGAGGCAGCTTATTGACAACCGCAAGCTCATTGAGACGGTAGGAGCCTGGAGCTGGGTGTCTGGGTCCTTGAGAGGTGGGGAGGTGGCCAGATTCCTGGGACCCCAGGGGGCAGAGGTGGAACAGCCACCATGGATCCCCAAGAGGAGAAAGGTCTATGTGCCTAAGGGAAGGGGGAAGCAGTGGACTCAGAGCCCAGAAGACGAGGTCGTGAGGCTCAGGTTGAGTGGCTGCTGGCCCTTAGTCAGCTCCTTTCCCACCTTCGAGAGCCCCCCTGCCAACTGCACTCTCTACAGCAAATGGAACGGTTCAAAGTTGTGGAACGAGAGACTAAGACCAAAGCTTATAGCAAGGAGGGCCTGGGCCTGGCCCAGAAGGTGGACCCTGCCCAGAAGGAAAAGGAAGAGGTTGGCCAGTGGCTCACGGTGAGTTGGGGTAGAGAAGAGAAGTGAACTTGGGGGGCCCTGAGCCCTGGGCGTACACAGGAACTCTGGCTGACAGCCTTCCTCTTCGCTCCTTCTCCCCCCAGAATACTATCGACACCCTAAACATGCAGGTGGACCAGTTTGAGAGCGAAGTGGAGTCACTGTCGGTGCAGACACGCAAGAAGAAGGGCGACAAGGATGTGAGTGTGGGGAGACCTGAAGCCCACAGGATGGGGATGGGAATGGGCTGGTGAGTGGGAGACCCAGTCATTTAGGCTCGTGGGAGGACGGGGTCTGGGTTCCTAAGGTGGACAGGGCCAACAGCTGAGATTGGGGATTTGCAAGACAGGACTGGGAGAGCTTAGCAGCTGACTCGGGTGGTACAGGGAGGAGGCGAGACGGAATCTCACCCTGGGTGTCTGGGTAGACAGGCCTTAGAGAAGAGGCACAGTTTGGGGAAGACGAGCTTAGGTTCAGCTTGGGCCGCACAGTAAGTGCGAGACCTGAAGGACACCCAGGGCAGGAGGCCTCACAGCACCCAGAGGGCTCCAGATTCTAGCGAGGAGCCAGTGGGTACAGACGAGGCAGGACGCCAAAACCAGTGAATTTGGCCTGAAGGAAAAGAGTGGTCTGGGACAAAGCCAGATGCTGAGATCCCAGATTCCAAAAATTCAGGATTATAGGGTGTGAGTTCAAAGGTATACACTGTATTTACTTGTTGGCACAGGAAATAGGGGGGAAAAGAGCCAGGTGCTTAGAGAAGCTGGGGGTGGGGGAAGGTTGGGAAGTGAGAGGTGTGTCAGGGTTGGGCATCAGGTCTGAGCGCTTTGGGAACCAGCAGCGTGGGGTGGGGGAGACGATGGGTCCTTTAATGGAGCAGGGATTCGGAACTGAGGCTAAGATGTCAAATCCTGAAAGGAATTGGGGCCCCTCGAGGGCAGGAGCTAGGCTTAAGAATCTGGACTCCCGTAGGGTTGGGGGTGGGGGCTAGTGATGACGAAGATTATCGTGATTCTGAATGGCAAGCTCCGCACAAATGGAGGTTATGATTATTACTGTTGGAGCAAGACGTGGAGGGGCAGCGGGGAATCTATATCCTAGAAGGCAGTAAGAGCTGGTGGGCACAGTGGAGAGATTTGAGCTGTCAGATGAGGTACTATCAGGGGCCAGGTTGTGGGGGTCTTTTAGAGCTTTCCAGATATTCCTGGAGCCAGAAAGCTTGTGCTGAGGGAGCATTGGGAGTCCCAAGATGTCAGAAGCCTAAGGTTGGTCCCCGCAGAGGTCAGAGGGTGGGCAGACCTCATGTTGCCCTCCCCTGGAAGGGGCTGGAATGGAGCCTCTGAGTCTCCACAGGGTCAGGGACTGAGATGGGTTCTGTGGGGACAGGAGGGGACAGGCAGGTGCTCAGCAGCCCCTGAGCCTGGCCCTGGGCTCGCCAGCAGAAGCAGGACCGGATTGAGGGCTTGAAGCGGCACATCGAGAAGCACCGGTACCACGTGCGGATGCTGGAGACCATCCTGCGCATGCTGGACAATGACTCCATCCTCGTTGATGCCATCCGCAAGATCAAGGACGATGTTGAGTACTATGTCGACTCATCCCAGGACCCTGACTTCGAGGAGAATGAGTTTCTCTATGACGACCTGGACCTCGAGGACATTCGTGAGGCCTGGGACTGGCCGTGGTACAGTGGGTTGGGGCCAGGAGAGGGCGTCCCTGCCCAGCTAAACATGCCTCTGCCCTTCCCCCACAGCACAGGCGCTGGTCGCCACCTCCCCACCCAGCCACAGCCACATGGAGGATGAGATCTTCAACCAGTCCAGCAGCACACCCACCTCGACCACCTCCAGCTCTCCCATCCCACCCAGCCCAGCCAACTGTACCACGGTGAGGCCCCACATGGCACTAGGAATTTGTTTCCAAGGGGTAGGAGTCGAGGAGACAGGCCTGGGTCTCTCAGAAGTGGCTGTGGGAGGGTAGTTGAGGAAGCAAGGATCTAGGTATCCAGGGTCTGGGCTTTTGGGGCAGGTCAGATCCTACATCTGGGTCCGTAATGGCTGTACAGAGCTGATACGGTGGACCCTGAATCCCTGGCCATTTTAGGTTTGGATGTGGGAGGTGAGAGGGGCCGGCGCACGGGGTGCCTGAGGAGGCTGGGCAGCTGGCTGCCTCGGGCAGGGATCCAAGGGTTAGATTCCCTAAGGAGAGTGGGTTCCTGGATCCTTAAGAGGCTGGAGGGTGAATGCTGGCTCCCAGAAGACAAGGACACTGGGGAGCCTGAATTTGGGTGGTTTTCTCCAGGGAGGTCAAGGGCAGGCATTTGAACAGCTCTGGGGTGCAAGGATTATTCAGCTGGGCCCAGGTCCCTGGGATATTCAAAGAGTGACTTCTCTAAGTTGGGGTCCTAGAGTCACACAGGTTTCTGACTCTGCCTCCCCCACCTCAGGAAAACTCCGAAGATGATAAGAAGAGAGGACGCTCAACAGACAGCGAAGTCAGCCAGGTGGGTCTGAGCTTGCAGTTGATGGGCATGTTACTTGCTTATTCATTTGTTTCCAAAGGCTCAGTGAGGCCTGAGGGCCGGCCATAGTGCTGGGCTCGGGGACATAGGTGGGTCAGAAATCAGTGCTGCCCTGAGGGCAGGTGGACAAGGCAGGCACACAGGTGACTGGTGCTGTGGTCAAGGGGGTAGCACAGGGCACAAGCCTGACTTGGCGGTCAGCAAATGCTGCTTTAGGATGGCACGTGCCCTGGGCTTTGGAGGAAGGCTGGAGTCTGGCCGGCAGGGAGGGACGGCAGCAGGTAACATGGCTGAGTTGTGACAGAAAACTTGGGAATGTCGAGAGATTAAGCAGCCAGCGAGGGCTGTGGGGCCTGGGGTCCAAGTGTGAGCATAGGGCCTGAGGTCGTCAGGCTGAGGGGCTTGGGCTTTGCGGACCAGCTCTGCAGGGAACAGACATGCCTGAGAAGTGATGGGGCCTTCACTGGCTAATAATGTGCATTGCAAGTTTCTGAGAATAGAAGGTGACATGCAGCGTTTCTCAGAATTTTTTCCCCCTGTGACCCCCATTAACCTCATTAGCATCTCCCCCAGGATAGAAGCACACTTTAGGAAACACTGCTGCAGAGGAATGGCATCATTTGGGCGGAATGGGCTCAAGGGGGAGACCTTGAGTGGGCATTGATGGGGCTGGTGTGGGGACCCAGGAGCAGCAAGGGGGGCGGTAGAGGCAGGTGGTGGTGAGGAGAAAAGCTGAGTCAATGACTCCCAGGGGCCACGCCTGGCTCAGTCACCTTCCCAGACCCCCACTGCCAAGCACTGATCCCAGGAAACAGTGGGCAGTCCCTTTTGGCGTTTGTTGAGTGCCAGGTGCCTGTGGGGTGGTCAGGGGAAGTCCAGGAAGCAGTTAGGTGCAGCTGCCTGAGTTGTCAGTTAGCAGCTCGGCTGGAGTGGGGATGCCGTGGAACGTGTTTACTGGCCTTGTAAGTGGTTTCTGTGACCCTTTAAGTGATACTCAGAATTACTGTCCGATGTACACCTGTTTTGCCTTCCACTCTTGGATGTTAGGCTGCCCCAGCTAATCTCGTATCGAGGACATTAGGTGTTTCCCACTAGTTCCCTGTTGTCTGGCACATGGGCCTTCTCTGAGTGGCAGCCCATGTTGTATGTCAGATCCCTGTGGGGCATCCATGGGGAGGTGTCCGGGCAGGACTTGGGAAGCTGGGCAGGAGTGTTTTAAGCATGAAGGTGATTGAAGCCACGAGGGTGAGTCACGTCAGCTGGGTTCCCAGGAAGGTGGGAGCAGCTGGAGACAGACCAGAGAGGAGGCTGGTGGGACGACAGGGAGTCTGAGCCTGGGGGAGTGGGCACCAGCCGGCCCACTGGGTGCTGACCTTCTGCTGTTTCCCACCCGCAGTCTCCAGCCAAAAATGGCTCCAAGCCTGTCCACAGCAACCAGCACTCTCAGTCCCCAGCTGTGCAGCCCACCTACCCCTCCGGCCCCCCGCCTGCTGCCTCTGCCTTGAATACCACCCCTGGCAACAATGGGGCCCCTGCCCCAGCAGCACCCCCAAGTGGCCTGGGCCCCAAGGCCAGTCCAGCTCCCAGCCACAACTCGGGTACCCCTGCCCCCTACGCCCAGGCCGTGGCACCCCCGGCCCCCAGCGGGCCCAGCACCACCCAGCCCCGGCCCCCCAGTGTCCAGCCTAGCGGGGGAGGCAGCGGAGGCGGTGGAGGCAGCGGAGGAAGCGGCAGCAGTAGTAACAGCAGTGCCAGCGGAGGTGCTGGCAAGCAGAATGGCGCCACCAGTAAGTGGAGAGCTGGCGGGGTGGGCTGCAGGGCTGCGAGCGGGGCTGCGTAGCAGCTGGCAGCCTCTTTCCATCCGCTCTTCCTTCCCCTTCCCAGGTTACAGCTCAGTCGTGGCAGACAGCCCGGCAGAGGTGGCTCTGAACAGCAGTGGGGGCAACAACGCCAACAACCAGGCTCTGGGACCCCCTTCTGGCCCCCACAACCCACCTCCCAGCACCTCGTGAGTGTCTGGGCCTTTGGCAGGGTTGGGGGCACAGCCTCCTGGTGCAGAGATGCACTAGTGCCTCCCCCATCACCACATGGCCTGGGAATCGGGCCCTGCTCTTGCTGGTTACAACGTCCAGTGAGCTGTCTTCCACCTTGGTTAGGTGTTGTGTCCCCACTTCTTTCCAGCTGGGACGTAGTAAATGTTGGCCTCCCCACTTTGCCCTTTGGAATGCTCTAAAATATATCCTCATCTAATTGGGGTTTTTCTCGGGAGCCCCACCAACCACCCCTCCATATTTCTGTTACCTGCCTGAGGCCACCCGACTCCTGCTGGAGGGGTCAGTGTTGTGCTTTTCAAAGCGGAATATCCTGAAGTCCTCCTCCTCTCTAGTGGCTCTTCCAAATCTTAGGTCAAACCATTTCACTGGGTCCACCTGTTTGCCAGAAGAATGCCCCAGGAGAGAACTTAATCTTCCACATGGCATGAGTGCAAGGCCTGCTTCCCTGGCCACTCACTCCAGCTCCAGCTGGGTCGCCCCAGGGGGGCATCTGCCACGTGTCCACCTGCCCAAGGCAGGTTTTTTGTGACTGGGACAATCACTCCCATACCTTCCTCCTCCATGGACTATTCCAGAAGGCCATCCCCCCCCCTTTATCTGTTTTTAGCCCTGTGTTCTTCTGTTGGAGCACCCTGAGAATCTCATTCCCACCTCCACAGCTCTACTTCACTGATGAGAAATGATTCCAAGATTGGGTTCTACCTTTGCCCAAAGGAGCCACTTCTCTCTCCCATCTGTCTGCCCTCAGCCCGCCCCTCTCAGATCCCATCTTGTGTGGATTCTCGCCCCTTCACCCAGTTTCCCTGCCCATCCCACCCTCTGGGACCTTGCTCTGAGCCCCCTCCCCTTCTCCATCCTCTCTTTTCAGAAAGGAACCTGGTGCAGCAGCTCCAACTGGGGCTGGGGGTGTGGCCCCAGGCTCAGGGAACAACTCGGGGGGACCCAGCCTCCTGGTGCCGCTGCCTGTGAATCCCCCCAGCTCCCCGACACCCAGCTTCAGCGAGGCCAAGGCAGCCAGTGCCCTGCTCAACGGACCTCCGCAGTTCAGCACTGCCCCGGAGATCAAGGTGGGCTCCTCGATCGTCCCCAGTGGGCCCCGAGCCTCTGTCCTGGCTCTGTTGTCTTTGCTCCAGATGTCTCTGTCTCCTTTCCTCCAGGTCTCTGACCACCGCCCACACTCGGTCTCTGGATCTCGGTTTCTTTGGCTTTCTGGCACCTGCTGTTTCTCCAGGGCTTTCTGTACCACCTGCACCCTCACTTTGGTCTTTGGGTGCTCTCATACCTCCCCCCGAGCTGTCTCTGAGACTCTGTCTCTGGTTCTTGGGGTTTCTTTCCTTCCCTTTGGTTGTGCTTGCCCTCTCTGGGTTTCTGTCTCTGTCTTTCCTGCAGCCCTTCAGTCTTTAGCCCCATTTCTCCTCACAAGACACACTGGTGCTTTCTGCTTCATGTGACCACTCACTACCCTCTTTCCCTTCTAAGAAACCATTGCAGTCAAGAGAACACTTGTTGGCTGGGCGCGGTGGCTCACACCTGTAATCCTAGCCGTCTGGGAGGCCAAGGCAGAAGGATTGTTTGAGCTTAAGGAGTTCGAGGTTGCTGTGAGCTGTGATGATGCCACTGCACACTCTACCCAGGGCGACAGAGAAAGTGTCTGTCTCAAAATAAAAGAAAATACTTGTTGAAGTCTGCTGTGGGCCAGGCTTTGTGCTAGGCAAATGCAGCCTGGTCCTGCCTTTAGGAAGCTTCCTGGCTAGTGGAGGGAGCAGTTTCTTATGGGGTGGCCGTGGAGGAGGGAGCTGCGGGCCCACAGAAGGGCGTCTGACCTGCCCCAGGAGACAGGGCTGGGAAGGCTCTTAGAAGGGGTGATGTTTAAGCTAAGACATCAGCCAGGGCGAGGGGCGGAGTCAGGGTGCTGATGCTGACGGCTGCAGGAGAGGCTGCGGGAGCTCTGGGGAGGGCGCTGGTCCGCTTAGTAGGTAGGAGGCTGGGCAGCATTCAGCAGAGGGAGGACAGAGGTGTCCCCTCTGCAGGAGGGAAGCACGCTTGGCTGTAGGGCTGTGACTGGAGTGGCAGGACAGGGCGGTGGGGTCCTGATCACTGAGGGTCTGAAATGGCAGCAGCAGGAGCTTGGAGTTGGCTGGCAGAGCGGGTGTGTTGTATACGCTCCACTGGGAAGCTGTGGGATTGTGCCCACACTGTCCAAATCCTGGCGTTGTCCTTTCTGTGCCCTACTTTCTTCATTTGGAAAATGGAAATAATCGTGATTATACCCACGATAGTGTTCTTGGAACAGTTTCTGGCCCAGAGGACGCATTCAAATTTCAGAGGTACTATGGACAGGAAATTTGTGGTGTATGCATTTTTCTGGAAAAAAGAAATAGCAGCTTTGAGATTCTCAAAAGGGGTACATGCCTTTATTTTATTTTATTTTATTTTTTTAAGAGATGGGGTTTTGGCTACGCTGTGCTACCCGGGCTGGACACGACTCTCACCTTTAAAACAAAAATGAATCATTGGGGTGGGTGGTGGGGAGCCTTAGCAAGGTTCTCGAGTGGAAAAGGGACAACACAAGTCTTCATAGGAAAGGTCCCCCAGGGCTGGCGAGGACAGAATGAGGACGTGGTGTGAAGGTCTGGGCAAGAGAGCTCAGGCCTGGGCTGTGTGGAGCAGGTGACACAGGGAAGTGAGTGTCCATCCGGGGGGGGGGGGGGGGGGGAAGCACGATGGATGGGCCTTGGTGGCTGAAGGG